GGCGCGGGAAAGCCTGGCCAGGATGGTGGGAGGCCGGCCGCAGGACATTGTCTTTACCTCAGGGGGCACAGAGGTGGGAGCGGCCGCGATCTCTGTGCGGGGCGGTGACCTCCCTTCCTGGCCGCCCCTGCCCGCCACCTCCTCTCAAGCAAGCGGCGATGAGGAGGGTGGGGACGAAGGGCGCCGTGCTCCCTCTGGGCCTTCGTTTTCCCCTCTGCCTTCCTCTCTTCAGGCAAACAACATGGTGATCCACACTGCCCGCAGGCACTTCCGCGAAAGCCAGGCCAGGCTGGGGGACAGCTGGGGGACACCGCACATCGTGACGTCGAGCGTGGAGCACGACTCCATCCGCCTGCCACTGGAGCAGCTGGTGAAGGAGAACCTGGCGGGTGAGCGGCAGAGGGACCGCAGGGGACATGCTGGGGACGTCTGGCCACAGACTGGGGTTTCCGAGGGGGGGGTTTCTCTGCTGGCATTTTTGTGGAGGAGGGTGGAGACCTGCTTACTGCATGATGCTCCCCTTTCTCCCCGCAAAGGGCACTGACTCCCCACATAGTGCCCCCATTCCCTCAAGCTGCGTGCATTACCCTGTTGGCATTCAAGGCCGGCCCCAAGAGCCGCCGTGCTCTCTGCCTGCGCACCAGCTACCCACACAGCTTTCCTGCCCGCTCAGTGGGGCACAGGCAGCCCTGGGCACTGTCGGGCTTCCCAGCAAACCTCAGGGCTTGTTTCTTGGCTTGAAGAAACCACCTTCGTGCCTGTGACCCCACGAAGCGGGCGCGCTGAGGTAGATGACGTCTTTGCCGCCATCCGGCCGACCACCTGCCTGGTTTCCATCATGTTGGCCAATAATGAGACTGGGGTCATCATGGTGAGTCTGTGGGCAGCAAGTGGCACGGGGTGGGGACATCCTCACAAAAAGGTGCTTGATAAGGGGGAGCAGACGGTCCCTGGGATGCAGACCCTCTTCCCTCCCGCCAGCCTGTCGCGGAGCTGAGCCAGCACATCCATGCCCTTAATCAGCGGAGAGCAGCGGAGGGGCTGCCCAGGATCCTGGTGCACACGGATGCGGCGCAGATGATTGGCAAGGGGCGTGTGGACGTGCAGGAGCTGGGGGTGGACTACCTCACCATTGTGGGACACAAGGTATGGCCCTGTTCACGTGGCCCAGCTGCTGTTCACCCTCTAAGACATCTCTGTTGGGGTGCCAGGGAGACTTTGGGTGCCCCCCACAGCTTGATACCTCATCAGTGGCCAAAGTTTTCCTGCTGGATGGTGCTCTGAAGACAGTCTTCAGCTGGATGACGAGGCTCCTGCGAGTCAGGGGGACCTGTCTGGAAGGGGGAGCGGGAGGAGGCCAAGGGCAGGGGACAACTCTGCAGCAGCCTGTGCCTGTGAGATGGGCAGGGGTCAGCACTGGAGGGCACTTGGATTTGGGCAGGAGCACAGGAAAGGGACACCTGGCAGTGTCCCCAGGGTCACCGCGGCTGTTTCTCCCCACAGTTCTACGGCCCACGGATTGGTGCGCTGTATGTGCGCGGCCCTGGCACCACCACCCCGCTGCACCCCATGCTCTTTGGAGGGGGACAGGAGAGGAGTTTCCGGCCGGGGTAAGGTGGCTGGGTGTGGCCCAGAGAGCTGGACCTTGGACTGGTGGCCAAACCACACGTGGCTACTTGGTCCGAGCTGAACTGGCAGCTGTGTCACCTGCCAGCCCTGGGGAAGGCAGCCCAGCGCAGGGAGATGGATCCATGCGTGGGAACTGTGGGAGCCTGGTGCACAGGCTTTGCCACGGGAGGAACCACAGGGTGGAACCGCCCCCTTCCCAACCACCTCAGAGACGTGTCCAGGACCCCCTGCCAGTGGTGAGGGGTCCCACGTGGGGAATGTCTGTGCCCCGAGGTTGGGTTTCTGGTCCGGAGAAATAACTCACTGCTCCCTCTTCCCTTCCAGCACTGAGAACACCCCAATGATCGCTGGCCTCGGCCAGGTAAGTCATGGGTGAGCGGTTCCCTGGGGGTGCTGCGTGGCAGAGCCAGCATGGAGACAGTCACTTGTGCTCCCCGGTCATTAGAAGTGACAATCTCGGGGTGCAGGAGGGCGGGCGAACTACCAGGAAAGGAGATGGGGCTTTCTGGTGCCAGTTAAGGAGGTGCTTCGGAGCACTTGCTGCAGGCTTTGCAGCCCTGGCAGTGGGCAGTCACGCAGCTCATATGGTGCAAGGCACCGAGAGACTGTTGGGGGATGCAGGGGACCTGGCAATTGCAGAGGCTGTTCCCAGGCTGGACTCACATGCCAGGGGGCTGCGCGTGGAGGGAGGTGTCAGGGGGTCGCTGGTGGAGCCTGTCTGGGTTTTCTTTCCTCAGGCTGCAGAGTTAGTGAGCAAGAACTGGGAGGCCTACGAGGCTCATATGCGGGATATTCGGGATTACCTGGAGGCCAGACTGGAGGTGAGCAGACCTGGTTCCTGTTTGCCTTTCCCCTCCCAGGGTCTCAGCCTGCAGAGTGTGGGGCCTGGAGCCAGGGCGGGTATGTCCCTCTGGCCCTGCCACCTCCTCATCAGGACAGAGCTGCTCATGATCCCAGAGCAGTTCACAGCCCTCTGATTTCTCAGGCCTCCTTTGGGAAGCAGAGGATCCACCTCACCAGCCACTTTACAGGCTCCAAGCGACTCTGCAACACCTCTAACTTCTCAATCCTGGGCCCAGGCCTTCAAGGTAGCTCTTACCCCACCACTGCCCCGTGATGGTGCCCATGGAGCCAAGCACCTGTCCCGCACAGCACCCTGCGGCTAGAGACCGGCAGGCGCTTGGCCGTGGCTTGGGCAGGGAGATGAGGCAGGCAGCAGCCCTGGGAGAGAGCCTGGGCGCTGGGAGACCTCTGCTTGTGTGTGCTGCAGGGCTGTCTCAGGGCAAGGGCCTTCGTGCCGGGGTGGGGGCTGCCTGCCACTCTGAGAAAGGGGACCGGTAAGCAGCCGGCTTTGCCAGGCCCAGAAGCGCGGGTGGGAGGGAGGGAAATAGGACAGGGAAAGTGACCGTTGGTAGCTATGGGCAGCGTCACCTGGAGCTGCACCCAAGGGTGCAGAGCTTTCCAGAGGGGCTGAAGGGCTGTGAAGGAGGTTATTGCAGGAGGCACAGCTGGAACGCTTGACTGCTGCTTGGAAGGACTTTGTCCCTCCTGGCTTTGGGGATCCAGGTGAGCTTGGAAGTACACTTCAATGCCTGGCACTGCCAGAAGACAGTCTGCCTTATGTCCGTGTGTGCCTGGCCCACCTGCGCAAGCCCAATTTGGGTCTCCAGCGGGCTCCTTTGGGGGTGTGTGGGGACAGCAGGTGCTTTTGGCCTGGTCTAGAGCAATGCCCTGTAGACATGGCAGAGCTGCCAACCCTTGGGGACGTGGGAGAAGTTCTTCCTTGGAGGGGAAGAACCAGATCCATCGTAGGGCAACAAGCCCAGTGGGAGCAGGTGCCTTTGGAAAGGGAGCAGGGCACTGTGCAGGAGACAGGTTTGCCTGGTGTGCATCTGCAGATGTGCTCCCTCTTATGGCTTGGTGAAGCTTTCTGGTGACGCACGTGCTTCCTCGGCCTTCAAGTTAAACCCACTCACCCTCGTGTCTGTGTTTCAGGCCCTCCTCAATTCTGCTCAGCTGCGGGATCCCCTACGACGTGGCGCAGAATGCCTTGCGGCTGAGCGTAGGGCGAGACACCACCCGGGCAGACGTGGACATGGTTGTGCAGGACCTTGTGCAGGCTGTGGCGCAGCTGGACCAAGACCAAGCCCTGTAGACCCCGGGAATCGCTCCCTGGCTATCACCCAGGTTCTCGGGACGGGATTGTGCCCTGCTTGGCCCCGGGGTGCTGGTTGCCTGTATCAGTTTGGGCTCAGGTTTTGGCAGGATTAGTTTTGCACCTGATCCCCAAGTCGAACTGGCCCAGCCTGCAGTTTGTGATCATGGATCAGACGTTGAGGAAGTGGCGGCTGGTGGTGGCAGGAGGAGGAAGTGGGATTGCCCGTTTCGGCAGCAATGTGCTCTTAGGTCTGCTTAGCCATATATCAGCTTGCGCCAACAGGGATGACAGCAGGGCTGGCACAGCACGTGGGGCTCAAGCAGAGAAGCTAGCACAGGCGCTGGAGGCAGCAGGGAGCTGTGCTGAGGAGGGGGCTTTGCTGCTTTGGGGCCAGGGCAGCTCATCAAGAGCTTGCTCAGGGCTCTGTCGTCCCCACTGCACAGTGCAGGCATTCGTGGAGTCTTGCTGTTGCGTGCTCCTCGCTTGCCAGCATATACCCAGCTGGCTGTGTGCATGTGTGCATGTTGGAATGATGGAGTCTCAAAGCTTGACTCCCTCCAGAGCTAACAGGCGTAGAAGCTATAGATGGAGCCTTTTGCCCTGGTTGCTTTCCACAAAGGAAACTTTCCCGTTGTCTTATCACTCAGAGGAGGAAAGACCATCTGCCGCAGAGGGAAACAAGGAGTTGATAGAAGCACAGCAAGATTCTGGGCTGGGAACTGCCTTGCCCCTGCCAGGGCCCTAAGCTACCAAAGGGTTTTTCGGCTGGGAAGGTGTCGGGCATGGCTTTCCCAGCACTGCGTTGCTTTACCTACTCCCCTTCCTCCTGTTCTTCCTACAGTGGGCAGAGCTCCTGTTGCCAGCTCCATGTGCTCCTAAAGGAAACAGAGTTGTCGGGGCAGCCATAACTGTGCCAGCACCCGAGGAAACGCGTCTTCCCTGTGTGGCCAAGGCGGTCACTCTCATCACCGACATAGGATGACACAAGTGTCACACGGATTGGGAGCGTTGCCAGCTGGGCTGACTGATGCTGGGGAACCTGGTCTCCCTGGGTATTCATAGGAATAAAAGTGATTGCTGCTGCTGTGGCTTTTTCCCAAGTAAAATGTTATTTTCCATGGTGTTTTCCGTGGGGGAAGCTAGACTGGTTGGGGTCACCTGAGCGATGTCTTTTCCCTCAGAAAATGCTCATGTCCCAGAACAGAGGCACAGTCCGCTGGAGCGGGGAGGTGCCCACTGGTCCAGGTTGGCATGGAGCCCATGGACACAGATTCTTAGATGCTGGCCTTTCTCTTTATTAGCCATAGATTAGCACGGCAAGGAATACTATTTGGAACCATAAAACCCCTGGGGCTTTTGTAAATCTCATTTCTAACTGAAGTGTTGGGACCCAAACACACTGACTTAAAGTCACTGGATGCCTGTCAGGCTGTTCAGTGTTACCGCTGCTGCTCACACCTCAATCTGAAATGCAATCTTTTCCCTTTTTTTCTTCCCTTGCATAATAGTCAAAACCTCTTTTAGAAAAAGTAGTTCCATAGAAAGAATATTGCTCTGCTTCAGGGATAGATCTTTTATCTATCATGGACCTTTCTTTCACAGCTGTGGCACAACTGGAGATCGAGTTTTTGGGGCTCTCTTTCCCCCACAGGAGATCCAGGCTTCCTGCATTGATTCAGACAGAAATTTAACCACAGAGCACAAAAAACTTTACTGACTTATTCTTTATACACACACGAAATGCAAGTTTTAACCACAGAAATACTAGCATTAGTTCATTTAGAATATTGCAGCCAAAGCATAAGAAGTACTACAGAGGATATGAATACTCTGGGTGACCATTTTAATGGTTTTACTGTTCATTTTCCTACTACCACACTGCACAGGAGTGAGAGGCACTAGTGAATTCCTGTCTCCGTATTGCCTTATCCAGGGAAGGTGAGGAAGAACATGCCTATGACTTGGCCTGCGCTTCTGTGCGCCAGCCTGTGCTTCCTCTTACACGTACTACATGCTGGAGACAAATAGCCTTTTCTCATATGGCAAAATGTCAGTGGTTGTACACACTAGAACAAATTCACCTGTCATGGAAGTCTGGAAATACCAACATTGCTACATCAGCTGTGAATTTAAAAGCAGAGAGAGGACCTGGCCACTATGCTAGAACACCACAGAGTTGAAATATGTTCCTTTGACGTGGTCACATAGCCAGAATCGGACGGTAAAACCACAATTCATTTAATGGAAGAATCCACAATCTCCTGATAATCTTGTCTTCCTAAATTCTTCCAAGACAGTTTATAACATGCAAGGAAAAAAACACTAACCAAAATAACCGCCCCCCCAACAAGATCATAAGCACCTGGGAAGATCCGCAACACGACAAGCTGCAGGACCATGGCGATGACTATTTCCAGGTGCTGTACAGTGCTGACCAAAGCGGGGTGGAACTTGCTCAGGGCATAGTAGACCCCCAGGAAGGCTGCTGTGGAGCACAGGCAGATGGCAAGGAGATAGCTCCAGGTTTCTCCATCCAGTGGGACGATTGGCTCTTGAAGTAAGAACATAGTGGATGCTCCCCACACTGTTCCCGTCCAGCTAAAGGTGAATAGTGCTGTCCACATGCTGATGTTATCTTTGATTGACCTATAGACTATCATGGAGAGAGCAGTGGTCAAACCTGCCATAACAGTCATGGTATAGCCAAAAGCTTCCTTCCAGGTGCTCAGCAAAGAGTTTTCTTCCTTAACAATGTTGGGGATCATGACCAGACAAACGCCAAACACGCTGCCAACTACAGTAATTATGTCAACGTAAGCCATTCCTTCATCTACGAGTAAAAAAGCCAAAATGGCACTGAACACTGTAGTGGTAGCCCTCCACATAATGGTCCCATTGCTGGGGGGAACTATAGAGAAGGAGGTATAAGCACAGGTAATAGAGATGACATTGCAGACCCCATAGAAGAAGAGTCGGAGTCTGTGGCCTTTGGGGCCAAAGGGAGGCTCATGGTAATAACACACAACAGTAATGGACAGCACCTGTAAGACTGAACGGATGAAAATTAACTCTAGGGATGGCACTTTGGAACGATCAGAAATTAATCTTGTAATTAGAGCCACACATCCGTGAGCCACGGCAGATCCAAAAAGGACTACCCACGTTTTCCTCGATTGCAGTATATTTCCTTCAGGAAAATGCTGGAATTGCCCAATCTCATCGGGTTTTGGCAGTTGTGCTGGCTGAAGCTTTGCGTCTATTGTACCGAAAAAAGTCCTTTCTCTCTTTTTCCCATCATTCAGTAGTCTTTTCTTAGGATTATCCTCCATAAATACTCCAGTATCTTCATTAACATCCTCATATCCCTCTTCTCCTGGCTGGGGATAATGAGAAGTATATTTCACTGTTACTGTGTTGGGATGAATTTTCACTCGCTTTTTGACTGGGTATTTTTGGGAAGATGTATCCATTTCCTCGGAAACGTCCTGGTCTTAAGAAAAAAAATGGAGAAGCACTGTTATTTTTATTTACTAAATAGCAAAAGATTCATTAGTATGTAAATGCTGTTAGTGTTTACAAGCTATTTTTATCAATTAAGTCCAAGTACTAGTAGATTGTTCTTGGTTTTGCTTTAATTTTCTGGTGAGTTACTGCTAAATACCATTGATAGGCCATTTGGATCTCCTTAAAAGCCAACCGTGGAACTTCATTTTAGTCACTAGTTTTTGAAAATGACATATATTCGCATTACATCTAGTACGTATAATGCATTCTAGTATATTCTTATTCTAATGAGAAAGTTCTCTTGCTAAGCTTTTTGGACAGTAAATACCCTGTAATTATGAATTAGACTTATTATTAATTGCTTGCTAATGTTACAAGATTACGGAAGAAATTTGGCTGGAGGAGATGATCGCCTTGTTTCTAAACTGACAGAGAGCAACACAGGGAAATAGGGAGTATCCCCGAGCAAGTCAGCATGGTTAGCATACGAATAAACAACACATTTTTGAACAATACTTTAACAGTGTTAAAAATTCCTTCTTCTTTTCACATCGTTTTATTTCCAGTGATTGATTTTGCAACAGATTTGTTCTTCAAATCTGATTTTTTTTTAATGGGGAAAATTTAGAAGGGCTGATCCAGACTACTAACTAGACCTTCCCATGGCAGACATTTAAAAACCACAGCAACAAAACCACCACCCTTTTGTCTCCCTGAAGGTCCATTTCACACTACACAAGCAGTGCAAGCTCTCCCCTCGGTGCCCCCGATTTGTGCACACCACCGTGACACACGCAGCAACACACGTGGCGCTGCTGCATGTGTCACAACGGCGGCATCAGCCTCCCAAAACAAGCAAGCAATCCCTTCACGCACCCAGCCTTCACCAGCACAAATGCCACTTGGTCTCTGCTGTCAGAGGTGCGTGCAGCCTGCCCACAGGGAGCCCACCTGTGCCCTTAATTCCCTCCAGCTCTCCGCTGAGCGTGCCATCGCTGCCTCCAGGCCCAGCGTGACAGCACTGGGTCAGTCTAATTCAGGCACGGGGATGTCACTGAGATTACTTTGTTTCCGCAGCGCCCTCCACCATCTGCGCAAAGAGCCCTTCCAAATGAAGTGGCAGCAGGAGAAATGCAACCTTCCCTGCCTTCTATTCGCCCCAGCAAATAAACACATGCAGACCTTACCTGCGACTGAGAGACTTAATCCCAAGCCAGAAGGTGAAAACACCTCTTGGTCATTACATCTTTGTCCGGGTGTCTAAACAGAAACAGTAGATGCTCTCAGATACCAAATAGGAAAGGTTACAATCATCTCAGCACAGAAAGTAATACCCAAGGGAGGCATGAAACATTCTGCTTGTTTTTCAAAGTTGAAAATTTGAGAAGCACTAGCATAACTTTGAGGCCATGCTCCTTGGAACTGGCAACCCTGGTGCATCATTACGAAAAAAACCACCACCACAAAACCCAAAAAACTTTAGATGGAGAGAAAGCAATCAGTGTCATCTTGCCAAAATCACTCCTCAGCCATCTCTCAGAATTCTTGATGGGACTAATCCAAAGAACAAGTGGCAGTTTTGTGAGTGTAAGGTTCCTACAGGTTAGTAACAAGAAAATTCACCATCCCATGCCTGCTGTACTGCCTCACCAGTGCTGCGGAGGAGAGGATGCCCAGGAGAACCCATCTTCTGGATCAAGTCATCCATCCCCAGGAGCCAAGCCCAGCCCTGCAGGCAGCAGCAGTTTGGCCTCAGTGGTGTCAGCAGGGGATGGGTATGGACAACCCTGTAGTCCTTGTCTGCAGGGAGTACCGAAGCACCAGAGCAGGTGGGTCCTGAAGGTGCAAGACCACAGCCGAGTGGACAATCGGGCTGAACAGCACGACGGCGGTTTGTCAGGGAGACCACAGATCAAAAGAGAATGTAAAAGTGGGTGCAATAGCTCTTCACAGAAATACTTTAAAAATATCATGGCCAGGTTCAGCCTTTGCATTTTCTCCATCCTTAATCTGTGACAGCCAAGCACTGCCTGTGTCTCCTGGCAAAAATAATTTACGTAAGAATAGGACATTCTTCCTTTTTCCTCACAGGCTAAGTGTTTATTGAACCCCTGCTACACCCAAGCTAAGCTGTAGCCTACTTCTCGCAGGTAGAGTGTATCCCCAGAAGGGATCACGATGAATGGGAGTGGGGAGAGGGGCAGGCACCGAGTCCCAGCTCTGGAGGAAGGCAGCAGCACCCGTTTGGACCTGCACAAGTAAGCGAGGTATCCTGGGGCACCACCTTACTTTTGGTTTGGCAGTGTCGTGGTTTAACCCCAGTTGGCAACTGAGCACCACGCAGCCACTCGCTCACTCCCCCCCAGTGGGATGGGGGAGAGAATCGGAAGGGTAAAAGTGAGAAAACTCGTGGGTTGAGATAAAAACAGTTTAATAGGTAAAGCAAAAGCCGCGCACGCACGCAAAGCAAAACAAGGAATTCATTCACTCCTTCCCATGGGCAGGCAGGTGTTCAGCCATCTCCAGGAAAGCAGGGCTCCATCACGCGTAACGGTTACTTGGGAAGACAAATGCCATCACTCCGAACG